CTGCAGTTCCCATCTGCGGTGATTTTGGAGCCCAGGAAAATCAAATCTGTCACTACCTCCATTTCTTCCCCATCTATTTGTCAGAAATTGAGAGGCTGGATGTCATGATGTTAGATTTCTTAATGTTGAGTTTCAAGCCAACTTTTGCACTCTCCTTCTTGGAGAAATATCTTCTCCAGAGATACTAGTCAGGCAAAGAATTATAAAAAAACAGGACAGGGGAAATAAGTGAAATAAGTTTCTAAATCTGGTCACGTCTTTCATTCATCATCTCTACAGCTCCAAATCAGTTGCAAGGTGAGGGTTCTAGGCTAGGTGTTTGTAAGCTGAGAACTACCTGTATTTTTAACTTTAATTCTTTTTTATAAGTGTGAGCCTCCTAGAATCATTATATGAGATAGCTGGCATATATGTCCAGTAAACAAACAAATAATTTCTCTAAAAGATCACATACAGGAAAGACCAGGTTTCATCCACATCCTTATGTGTCAATGAATGCCATTGATCACCACGGGGCTCCTTCTGAGTAGACCTCATGGGAAGGGAGGGGAAGCATGTCATCCACACACACACACACCCAAACTCATCTCTGCTTTTAATTCTTCCTTTACAGCCAATTGAGCAAACAGCCTCCTATGCAACATGAACCACTGAAATCATACCATGACGCTCAGTCTACTGGCATCATATATCTTATGAACAAATATTTTTGGTTACTTCCTTGCAAAATATATTTGCAATTAACCATTTTCAACAAGGGGTTATGAATAATGCCTTTATTCACAAGTAGCCCCACTTTTGCATGGTCTTCTGTGCCCCTCCCCAAAGCAACACTGCAGAGGCAGGTTCTTACACCTTTGTGGAAGACCAGGCAATTGGGGGCTCCCCTCACCTCTGGGGAGTGGATGTTCCACAATGTGGGGGCAGCGGCAGAGAATGCCCTCTTCCCAGACCCCTCCCCCAGTTGAAATTCTTTGACTGACGGCTCTGTCTCATGCCTTCCCTACCTGACCAGGTGGAATGGGCTAAGGACAAAGGTGCTTCCATAGCAGTGACGTGCGGTGAGGTTTATGGCTGGTGAGGCACTGATGTCACACACACACACACACACACACACACACAGATATCACACAAGGGCCCTTCACTAAACATTTTTTTTACTGGTGGGGAATTAAAATTCCCTTTTCCTCAATGGGAAATCATATTCAGACAAAGAAAATTATTAAAAATATCCTTTCCTTTCTGAAGCCTTGCACCTATATTGGGAGGGGGGAATAGGGGAAATGCAAGCGGCAAGGCCAGCCTGCCCCCTTCTTGTCTCCCACCTCCCCTTCCCAACGGAACAAGAAGGCAGTGGGCTGGTCTTGCAAATGGGGATCAGTGCACTCACCGCCTCCCCTGGGAGGAGCTCTGCAGTGGGACAGACGAACGGAAGGGGAGATCGCCCCTTCCTCCTCCACGCCCCCAAACCCCGTCTTCCCTGGCCTGCACTCCTGCGCCCAGGCTCCTTTGGGTTCGGGGGTAATCCGAATGGGGGGAGGAGGGGATCCCCGGGGCGGAGGCCTCCTGGTGCAATGGTCTTCCGCAGCTCCGGAGCGAACCTTCGCCTTCCCCGCCCAGGATTGCAAGGCTGGAGGCCTCGGTAGCAACCATCCCCAGCTGGCCAACCCTCGCCCGTACCATCAGCGGTGGGACCCGCGCAGTTCCTCTCCTCCCCGGCGCCATCCGGTGGGCATGCGAGCACTGCATGCGAGCACTGAATGTACGGCTGGCCCGGAAGGCATGCCAGCACTTTAGAGTGCTGGCAGGGCTCGGCCACCATTCAGCGAAACATGTTTCGCTGAATGGCGGCTGAGCTCTAAAGTGCCGGCTTGCCTTCTGGGCCGGCTGGCGTGGAAGACAACCCGGCACTTTAAAGGCATGCCGGCACTTTAGAGTTCCGGCAGAGCTCGGCCACCATTCAGTGAAACATGTCCTGGTTTGTGGCTGGGCAGCACGCTTGCACTTCAAAGTGCATGCCGCCCGGCCACAAACCAGGACATGTTTCGCTCTATGGCGCGCCGAGGCGGCATGGCTTTAAAAAATAAAAATAATAAAAATAATAAAAAATGAAAAATAAAAATAGATGTGCCAGCTCGCGCGCCAGCAGAGGCGGCTAAAAAAAAAAGCCACACACACACACACGCACATACACATAATAAAAACAAATTACAATTACTTACATTACAAATAAATTGAATTCCTCCCCCCTGCCCCCTCCCTCTGACCCACATACCTTCCAGCTGCGTCAAAAATGCTAGATTTGGTCTAGCCAGGGCGAGGCAGGCTAGGCTAGTTGCTGCTAGAGTCACCACGTGGATGACTCTGCTTAAATGTTTTAAAATAGCCTCTAAACAAAGTGCCCTCTGCAGGAGGAGGCGGGAGAATCATGTGCCTCATTTGCATACAGAATTTTTTGCTTTTTAACCCTTGGTTAACTCTTAAAAGGCGAAAAATTCCTTATGCAAAGGAGGCCCATAGTTCTCTAGCCTCCTCCTACTAACTGCACTAAGTAGACTCAGAGTCACTGTGACTTAGAGTCTGGGAGCAACTACCTTGGCCTTTTTAATTATTTTAAAAATTGTTTCCTTTTTCTTAGGAGACTGGTGAGGCCCCGCCTCCCCTGCCTCTAGTGACTGCACGTCACTGTTCCATAGGTAGCCTGGCCCCAAGCCATGTAGGGCTTTATAGGTGATAACCAACCCTTTGACCCAACCCCTGGAAGAATCAGAATCAGGAGAGAGCTGGAAAGGACCCTTGGAGCAGGAGACCCGATACCATTTTAGATAGGTGGCTGTCCAGTCTTTTCTTGAAAACCTCCAGGATGGAGCACTTCTGAAGGTGATTTCTGTTCCATTGGTTAATTGCCCTCACTGTTAGGAAGTGTCTCCTAACATTTTAAAACTAAACAAGGAAAGAAAAAATGTGCATTAAAAACCCCCACACATATTGAATGTCTCCCTCAGTCTTGAATGAGGTCCAGCCCCACTATGGTTGAGTGTGTTGTGTTTTAACCTGCTTTGTTTTCTTTATTTTTAAACTTTTTAGTACTTTTTAAATTGTCTTTTATGTAAGCCGTCCGGAGTCCTTCGGGATTGGGCAGCATATAAGTTTATTATAAAATTAAAATTAAAATTCAGTTGAATACTGATAAATGTATTTCAGCAATAATAGCTTCTGTCCCCTTGCAAAACAGGTCCACAAGTCAGTTTAACCCAACAAATTTGACCCAGCATCTGTCTACTGTAAAAAGGAACCGCTAACAGCTACCCTGTGGTAACAATCTATTATTGCATTTAACTCACAGAAATTCCACAATGGCTTCTAATCTATCATAAACCACTGCGGTCATTATCTCTGATCCTCGATTCATTCTTAAAAACAAAACTTTTCCTTAAAATTTTAATTGGGAACTTTCAAACAATTGCATCTCATTCCACAAAGTCATTATTCTTTGTTCTAAATATCTCTGCAGCATTTGTGGTTCAAAGAATCTTTCTAAAAAGTGTATAAAGAAGAGCAATAAAGATGATTAGAAATATGGGGGCTAAAGTGTACAATGAACAGATAAGGAAACTAGGATCTCTGGTCTAGGAAAGAGAAGGACTAGGGTTGAATGAGAGCCACCTTCCAATATTTGAGGGACTGTCACTGAGAGGACGGGGTCAACTTATTTTCCAAAGCACTTGAGGGCAGGGCAAGAAGTACATATAAAAGAACCAACCTACAACTAAGGACTATTTTCCTGTCAATTAGAACAAATAATCAGTAAAACAGCTTGCCTCCTGGAATTGGGGGGGGGGGCACCACTGGAGGTTTTCAAGAAGGTCCTGGGCAGCTATTTGTCTAGAATGGCATAACGTCTTCTGCTTGAACAGAGGGTTGGACTAGAAGACCTCCAAGGTCCCTTCCAAACCTTGTAGTCTGTTTTATATGTTTAGTGTTGAATGAGACAAATTAAGTATATTTTAAAAAATGTAATAATACTAGTAGCAACAATGGTGCTTTGGAAGATCTGTAAGAAATACAATTTGCCTGCAGGCAAAAACTGGTGGGACCATCTTACCTAAGTGTAAGACCTTGAGTTTGTTAAAAATTTTGTTAGCCACCAGAGGCTTCCCAGATAGCTCAGAAACTGCATCAGAATGCTTATCTATGGTGTCTTGTCAAATTGGAAGAAAGTCAGATGGATTGCCCAGAAATCAGCTCCTGTTGTTCTACTAGTCAGCATTTAGAGCAGTGCCTTGAATGAAGGGTGGAAGGAAGATGGTCTCATCTCTACACACAATAGATGGCCTTGTAGCTGAGAAGACAGAAATAATATCAGAAATGTTGTTGATAGATTAGAGCAGTGAAGAGGAAGGGTCTTGGGCTGTAAACATACAGTGAATGTATATTAATCATGGAATAATGTTAATAGTTTATGATCTTGTGGGGCCACATTATTAGCTATCCAGGGCCGCATGTGTGACCCCTGGGCCACGAGCTGGAAAGGGCTACAAGTGACAGGATATAAGAGCAAATGGATTGGTCAGTCTTGTCAGTCTTGTTCAACCTAGAATTGGATAGCTCTGAAATTAGCTAACAGTCCCTGCTTAGCACACTTAACTGGGAAATACAATTGAAAGGACCTTTGATCTTTCTCTAACTTACCCAGTTCCTTCCCGTTGCCCATTGCTCCCATCGGCCCCAGCCCCTCACCTCCTCTGCTCCCCTAATATCCTAGGGTAATGGACCCTAGGGTGGCTGAACCCTTTTCTCATACTTCAATTCTACTACAGCGCTTATTCTCTGGCTATGAAAATCCTGACAGCCGCTAGATGGCATCTCACAGATATGTCTCTCAGCCGCCACCTAGTAATCTATAGGTTTAATAATCAGCTGGCTGACCCTTACTTCAAGGATTAAAAAATAATAAATCAGTGAACAATAGGAGAGAAACTGCAGAACAAAGAGCATTTGTGGTGTTGTGCATAATTGTAGGAGGCTTTTCATATTGGGAATGAGGTTGGGTGGGACTGGAATTGTAGCCCCCAAAACCATCAATCTCAATCCAAACTGTATGGCAGCCCAGACGCTCTCTGGGTAAGGGCACACTGTGGGCTCCATGAGGCTTAGGGCAGGTGGCTTCCTGCCAGTTGCAGATGGGAAGGGAGCAGGGCAAAGCAGCGGAGGGGAGGTGGGCTGGGCGTCCAGGGATTTCAACTGGCAGCAGAGGATGAAGAAGCTCTCCCTGCACCTTTAAAGAGGAGACACGTGGCTGCAGGTGGATGCAAACTTCTCTCTTTGCTTAATATTTTCTTGCTACATTTTAAATCTCTCTCCTTCCCTCCCCCCCCTCTCTCCCCCCCTCTTTTTTAAAGATACATGGCCATTATCCATCCTCTGCAACCAAGGCTATCAGCTGCAGCCACCAAGGTTGTCATCTGTGTTATATGGCTCTTGGCTTCGCTGCTCTCATTCCCTCAAGGATACTATTCCACCACTGAAGAGATGTCTGGGCGAGTGATGTGCTTTATCGATTGGCCACAAAATCAGACCCAGGTCTCTGCAATAACGTGAGTTGGGCCTTGCTGTTGTTGTTGCTGGAGGTAGAAAGAGAGGGCTAGGCATTTCTCTTCCAAGAATGCGCTCATGATTCCAGAGGAGCCAGACTCTCAGGTTTCACCCCCTTCTGATTTTCTGGCCTCCCTGTACAGCATCCGAATGTTGCTCCATGGGTTGGATGAGGTCTTGGCTGCATTTCCTTCATTGCAGTAGACAAGGGGATAGTCACCCTCCCATCTTCAAATACCATATTTGGCCAAGAAAATACCCTCAGGCAGTTAAACATCACAAAACTGAGGAATTATTGTTTTATTACAGAGGTTTCTGTTTATTTTTCTTTTCCATTGATTGATAGATTAATCAAACATCTAGCTGCCTGCATCATGGTAATTATATTTATAATTTAGAAAGGAATTAAATGGAAACAAAGCTCAAACAATTGAGAGCTATAATGAATTTACAGTTGAAGAACTGGGGTGGTTGTGCAACCAGCAACACACAGTGGTTTGCCAGATTGCCAGGGAGGTGATGGACTCTCTTTTACTTGTGTGCATGTGTGTGTGTGTGGGGGGGGGGGTTAACCAAGCTCTTCTGACCCTCTGTTGCTAGGAAGGCTGAAGTAATTGGTGCTTCTGGTAGGCAAGGTGGATCCACACCCAGGTGATCTCCAAGGTTCCTTCTAACCCAGACAGTTTATGATATTCAAAATCCTAGATATTACAACTTTGTTGAGACATTTGCTATCCATTTTGATCCTTTCTTATTTTGTTCTGTTAACATCCTTTTTATTAAGTTGCCTCTAAGCAATTCTTTTCTGTTCTGGTATATATCTTTCCTGTGTCAAATGGCTTTCTTACGAATATAAAGTAATCACAATATGAAAAATGCCAAAGAAAATAAATTGAATTTTGACATTCCACTGAAATGAGAAACCATGGAGCAGTGAAGAACGTATCTGCCTCTGGCCCTGGAAGCTTCTCACTCAAGCAGCCTTGAAAGCCGGCCTGATAAAAAAAGGGAAAGCGCCACACAAGCTCAGTCTGGTCTCATGTTCCCCATATCTCCTTTAATTTATGCAGGAGTTGGAAGTAGGAGGGCCAATCCCTGGAATGAAATCTAGTCAGCTGCAATTGGAATCTGCACATTTCTCCTGTTGAATAGACAACTGTCAGGAATTCTCTGATGGGCTCAGAGGACAAATGTCCTTGTGGATGGAGAGCTCTTTAGAGAGCTAGACGTAGAAGGGGAACGGGGACAATCACAGTGGAGGAATGGACTGTACAAAATGCTGTAAAACGCAGAGTCCTTCCAGGGTGGACTTTTTGAAACCTGCTCAAAAATACCTTGATGTAAAGGCTGAGCAGTGACAGGGTTGAGTCCTAAATGAGGCTTGAGTGTCTGTGGGAGATTTGTAGGAGGTTTCAAAAAGACCAAAATGAAGGAATGTGGTTCGGTATATTGAAGGGCTGTGTGTTGAGGTCTCCCTCTGCAAACTCATGAACTTATTTGTACAGCATGTTACGTAAGTAGTCCTCAACTTACGATCACAAATTAGCCCAAAATTTATGTTGCTAAATGAGGCAGTTAAGTGAATTTTGCTCCATTTTATGACCTTTCTTGTCACAGTCTTTAAGCGAATCATTGCAATTGTTAAGTTAGTGACATGGTTGTTAAGGGAATCTGTTGACTTCTCTTGTCAGAAGTTCACAAAAGGGAATCACGTGACCCCAGGACACTACAACCGTCATAAATATGAGTCAGCTGCCAAACATCTGAATTTTAATCACGTGACCATGGAGATGCCACAGCGAAGATAAGTCTGAGAAACAGCCCTAAGTCACTTTTTTCAGTGCCATTATAACTTTAAACGGTCAGTAAATGAGCGGTTGTAAGTCAAGGACTACCAATATTTGTTCTTTCAATGTTTTAAACTTTTTTCACCCTTTTTAAAAATCTCGGCCTGGAGTTTAGGGACTCTTTGCCGTGAGGGCTCCAAGAACATGAAAAGTGGGCAAATTGATTCCTGCAGAACAATTTGATGAGCTGCATGACTTCAGTGAGTCATATAGTTGTAAATAAAACAATTAGTTCTCTCTAATTCTTTCTAGAAACTATGGCAAAAAATATTACCAGTATCTGGGACCTTGCTTCTGGAATTTCTCAACCTCATAAAATGAAATTGCTTCCTCTTCCTCTCTATTTCCAACCTTCTGGACTTTCTTCTGAACTCTTCCCTGCTCCCCACCAGTCCTTTCCCCCTCTCTCTCTTTCTATCGGATCTCCAGCTCAGGAAAGAGTCCCTTGCATTAACAGGAGAGGGAGCTTTGACCAAAGCAGGAAAAGGTTTGAAAAGGTTGAGAGCCAGAAAAGGAAAACCACAGAACAATGTGGTAAAAATGCATGTGGCACCTGTGTAATGCATTTGAAATGCAGATGAAGCAGCTGCAGAGCAATGTGTTTCTCTGCCCATCCTGATCAATAGAGACCTTGAAAATGCAATGCAGACAACATATGTACAGTGAGTTTTCCTTTTGGGGAACATCAGCGCATGACACCAGCAACAAGGCCTGCGTTTAGCTATAACTCAATACTTGCAGGTGACACATGTGCGCATGGCAATATGGCTGGGAAGAAAATCCTCTGTAACATTTTTATCCAATGCTGGCTGCCCAGGGGGGGTCAGACAGCTGTTGCAGCCACATATCAACGTTTAGCCGACATACCAGGATAACTTCCTGTAGCTGAGAGCCTCCTGGCCCCCTGCAGAAGCTGCTGCACCAACAGCACTGCAGGGCATTTGACACACACACACACACACACACACACACATACACACCCTGGGTGTTTTCCCCTTGTGCTCCCCCAGCCTCCAAAGGAGAGAGTGGCTTAAAGCCCCTTATTTTTTTCTGTTGAGAAGCAAAGTGATGGATGAGAGTTCCCAATGGAAGGAACTTTGCAATTATCAACACATAAATATTTATATCATGCACGCAAGAGACTCCTACCTGCCTTTTACTCTTAATAATAATATTCCTGGGGTTCTCCACACATCTGGCAGCCTCCACACATCTTCGATTTTCAAGCCCCAGAATTGTGAAGGCCACACCAGAGATCCCTGGTCCTTTGCCCCAGTTCAACAGAATGTAAGCTTTGCCCCTGAAACTCTTTTTACGTGTCCCCATTAGGTTGGTTTCTAGTGTTTCGCTACCTTTTTATTCCTTGTTTCTTTTTCTTATTGCATGTTTTAAAATGTTTTTTTATTTGTGGTGTCAGATGAGGGTCAGACAATGCAAACTCAATGAATAATTAAATAAGTGTTATATAATATACTCTTTCTGGGTTCTAGAGAAGGTGCTGAAAATTGCCTAAATGAAACAAAGAATTGAGTGAATGACTCTCGGCTGCAGAAAGGCTGAAAGGCATTCAGTCTGGAGAAAAAATACAGGAGAAAGGATATCAGAGTTTGCATATATAAAAATAGAGAGAGGGTGATATGAATTATTTCCATTGCTGCAGACTCCAGAACTGCAAATAATCTGCATGAGTTGCAACTGCCTAGATTTCACTTAAGTAGAAGGAAAGAGTTCTATTGAGATCTATACTACCTCCAGAGATTGTAGGTTAGCCATCTAAAAAGAGGCTGGGCAGCCACTTCTAATTAGTTTTCCTACCTATCTGCAGCGAGTTGGATTAGATTATCTTTGCAGCCTCTTCCAGAATGACAATTTGATTATGCCATTGTTTCTTTTATTTGGTATTTCTGTCATCACTTCTCAGTGATGGAAAGGGAGGCGCCTTACGCGTTCTACAAAACAGTCTCTTTCTTTCCTGGGTGAATCTTGGCCTCCAAGTAATGGAGCTACATTCAGACCGAATTTGGGCAGTTGTTGCCTTGGCTGCCATTCAGGTCACTTCCGGTCCTGTGGCCCCCTCCACCTCCCGAGGCCAGAATAACTTCTCATCAAGCGGATTGGCCCTGGATAAACTTCTGGCATCTTTTGTTGCCGCAGCAAATTGAAAAATGAACCTGGTGTAACGCCAGTGTTTATTCTTGGTGTGATATCTCCTATTTCAGCATTTGCCATCTCGAAAGAGCTGAAGGTTGCAGGTGAGGAGGAGTAAATGCTGCCTCTCTGGGAAAATGTACAGCTCTCCTTCATGTCTCCCGCATAGCAACTGAATCGCTCCTGGCCCAAGAGAAAGAGCCAGGAGCTTCAGCTCCAAGACTTTATTGTGAGACACACACTAGGGAGGTTCATACTCCTCAGTAACAGAGCTGAGGGTTGGGCCTGCTCAGGTCACTCATCAAATCCCCCGGCTGCTCGGGGGGGGGGGGAGCTCTGAGCCATCGGAGGAAATTGTTTGTTGTTGTTTATTGGATTTATATGGCAAGTCTTTGGGATGAAACCCACCTAAGGGGCTTTTGCCAATCAGCCAGACAGGAGGCGAGAGAGAAGGGCTTGGCTTGGACGGAGACTTTGGGGCAGGTGGAAGGGAGAGCACTGGGGTGTGCGTGTGCAGCTGTTCCTTGCCACACCCTCTGCAGCCGAGGTAGTTCTTCTATGGAAAGGACATTGCACATACTACTTCATTTGAGGAGTGGGGTAAGATAAGGAATTTTCTTTCTAATTCTATGATCTGTGATCAGGTGGGCTACAGGTCATTGTGGGGAAAATCTCTCTGGGTGACTGTTAAGAGCTGATGGTCTGTAGTCTGTATGTGGGGGAGCTAAAAGCATTAGATGTGGGCTACTATAGTTGTCCAGTACATCCATGATCAGCCTGAAGGTTTTGTCTCTTCCTCTAAGAAGCAGCCCAAACTACGCCATCATACATTTGTCAGGAGATTGCAGTGATGTTCCAACTAGCAGCCAGATTTGCATCAGGAATAAAATGGAAAGAATGTTCAGACTTGTGTCTCGTTTATTCCAGGTATCAGGTCTGCATCACTATCCTAGCCTATGTCTTGCCACTCATAATGATAGCCTATGCCTATATTACGGTGGGCATTACCCTGTGGGCTAGTGCGATACCAGGGGACTCTTCAGACCGCTACCATGAACAGGTGTCTGCCAAGCGCAAGGTAAGCTCTGTCAGAAGAAGCTCAACCAGAAAGGAAAGCCCTGTCAAAGAAGGCAGTTCAGGTCGGGGTCCAAAGGGTAAGTGAATAGACGGAGGTAGAAACAGGCAGCCAGGATCTCTTGCCAACCACTCGGAGTCATTTGAGGTTGGTTTATTTCAAGAATGGGGAAGCCCTCGAGATAGCACCACCAATGCCAGAAAGCAGGGCTAAGGATGATGGGTGCTGGGAATTGTGGCTGAGCGACATCCCACAGACCTCAGCTGCTTCGCCATTCCCTTTTTACAGCATGTCATTGAGTTACATGTATTAAAAGTTAGCATGTTCCAGGTCCCATTTTGTAACATAGCTTGTTCTCCCAAATGAACATGATGCCATGAATGCGCTGAGAGAGCTCTTGGCTTCTTCAAAGAGGGAAAGGAAGAATCCAAAGGATCACAACCCTGATAGTGGATGCAATGTCTCCCAGGGCATCTTCCTACAGCTGGCCTGCTGTTTCCATTAGGACACTGTTTCTCAACCTTGGTGATTTTAAGTCCTGTGGACTTTAACTCCCAGAATTCCCCAGCTCTGCTGGTTGGGGGATTCTGGGAGTTGAAGTCCACAGGACTTAAAGTCACCAAGATTGAGAAACACTGCATTAGGGGAAGGCAAAAGCCACTGCAGGTGTCTCTGGCCTTGCCTGGCCATGCTGCTTTGTGGGCCCTGGGGGCCTCCATAGGAGCAGCCCCACTTGTCTCCTCAACCGGACTCTGTGCTTAACCTGGGTGGCTCTCCTCTTCCTCTGGCAGGTGGTCAAGATGATGATCACGGTGGTTTTTACCTTCGCCATTTGCTGGCTGCCTTACCACATCTTCTTCCTCCTGCAACTCTTCGAGGATGATATGTTCTTGGAGAAGTACATCCAGCAGGTCTACCTGGCCATCATGTGGCTGGCCATGAGCTCCACTATGTACAACCCGATTATTTACTGTTGTCTCAATGACAGGTAAGACCTTCTTCTTATGGCAGCTTCCCTTGAATATGAATAAATGTAAAGTAAATTACAGTAAAAACATACAAATTAACATAATTTATGCAAAATGGACTATGTTTTTAACAGCCCAGAGAATTCAGCTTTTCTTAGCATGGAATGAACATTAGATAGTAATACAACAAAGACCCTTGGACTATTTCAGCCCCCGGGGTCATGAGAAGCGCAGCCTTTCCCGTGCTGGATGGAAACCCAGCTGATCCTGGAAGCCGAGGGGAGGCATGAGGGCATCCGAGGAGGCTTCAGCAGCCTCCAGGCAGGCTCTCCTCCTGTGGCTGATGTGCTCTGTCTTTTCAGGTTCCGGGTGGGCTTCAAGCGGGCTTTCCAGTGGTGCCCATTCATCCATGCCAGTGAATACGAAGGATTGGAAATGAAATCAGCCAGGTACCTGCAGGTCCAGAACAGCCTCTACAAGACCAGCCGGATGGAGACGACGGTCTCTTCTGTCACTGGCAACCCAGAGGAAGAACCGGAGGATGGCAACAAACCCAGACGGCCCTCCCTTGACTTGACCTCCAATGGCTCTTCTCTCAGTGATACCAAAACCATCTCAGAGAGCCTGAGCTTCTATTCCAATACGCTTCCCTGAGCAAACACATGATTTAGCCACACTGTGACACCACTTCCATCCCTCCAATGAAGTCCCCCCATCCCAGAACAAATGGACCCTTTCCTGTGGCTGCCCCATGGGCTTTCCTTCTCCTTCCAAGGGGTTCCATCCGATGTTGCTCTTCTCCGCTGGTCATGGATCCTGTGCCTTCCTTCCACCCAACCTTTCCTCCTCCCTCTGTCCAGGATCTCTAGGCAGGGGTCATCTGTCCATCTCCTCTCTATTAAGCTGCCATTGTGGAAGCAGTGGATATGAAAGAAACTTGTTTGAGGTTTTTTTGGAGGGGTGTAAATGAAATATATACGAAGTTGGAGTTTAAACTTTAATTTTTCTTGGAACTCAATTCAAAATCCATTTCTACAACAGAACATTTGAATTTATAATATTTGTAATAGTATTTTGTTCCATTAATGAACTTTCAGTTACTTTCCTTGAGTAACTGGTATACTTCCAGGATCACTTTTCTTCCATTCATTCATCAGTGTTTGTTCCCGGGCTTAGAGGGAAGTCCTTGACTACCTCTAGTGAGGTGAATTAATTCTGTTTCAGGATCTCTGCCTTTACCATAAGATATGGCTCAAGGCTCCATTCAACATTTTCTTAGGGCTCAGTCTCCTCGATGAAAACATTAGACTCATTCAATGTCGAAAATCACACAAAGAAAGGTTCGACTGTATGGTTTCTGTTAGCAAGAAATGTTTCTTCTTTCATAGGAAAAGATTAACTCAGGCATAGCAGCCGTCCAGTCATCCACCCAAAGCATCATCTGGAATGTTCTAGAATTTCCAACAGGATTGTGGGAATTGGCCACAACATGTTTGAATCTTCCTTGAAGTTTGTGCATTCCATGACTAGCAAAGCCGAGGGGAGGGGAGGCTGCCAACTGTCTACCTGCAAGCATCAGGACTGATGCCTCCTTGCAACACGCACGGCTTGAGCAGCTGGCAAAGGACCAAAACGAATGTGTGATTGTAATGCAGCGCCTGCTTTGGCACCAAGCTCATGTGACAGAGATGAATAGATGCTGGCTTAATAAGATGGAACCAAATAGCATTTTAGAAAAGCTATGTGGTAATAAAAATCGGATAAAATAATTTAACAGGATAGAATCAATTGTGGGTGAAAATACAGCAGGCCCGTTTCAGCATGAGCCTTATGCTCTATCACAAGGGGGCCATCGGCTTCTCAAGCAAGCCATCTCTTCCAGTTATGGAGAAATTTTGAGGCTACAGGAGAGACCCACAAGTCTCTTGCCACGGCCGAAGTGCTGCATCAGCTCCTGCTGACGAAAGTGATCACAATAGCACAATATTAGCTCTGTTGCATACAAGAGGATGGGATGAAGACTTGCCGAAGTCAGTATGGAAAATCTTCTCTAACGAGATGACAAACTAGTCAGTGATTCAGTTACCTGCTATCTAACTTCAAACATATGTGTGTCTGCATCCACCTACAATACCTTTATAACAAAACTCTTGTGTGGCAAAATATTTTTCATTGCATACTATGTTATGCAACTACATGGTAGCTAGGAGATATTTGCTGATTGTCCTGAAAAATGGTACAACCCAGTTTTCCACAGACACAAAGCTGAGCACAAGTTGCCCAAAACCTCCTATAGTATTTCCACAAATGGCCAAAGATCAACATCACAGAACATCACTTTACCCATTATGCCTGCATCAAGGGCCTCTTGCAAATACGCAATAAAGGAAAAGGCCCAGACCATAATACAGGCCAGAGACTTGCTGATGTCCCTGGGCAGAGCTGGCCTGTGTATCCATTTCCTGTGTTTCTTGATCTTCCAGCAACTTTGGAGAGTGTTGTTTAGACAGTCCTTCCAGATTGGCTGCATGTCTTGGAAGAGGGTGCCACCATGTTGCATTGGTTATCCTACTATCTCCTTGAGTGATTTCACTTGTTGTTCAGTGGTAAGATTTTTGTGAGGTGCCTCAGGGCTGACGGCTTTTCATCCATCTAGGTGAGTCTGCTGGATGAGATTATTCATGAGCTTGGGGTTTGTTGTCATCAGGTTGATTATGACACCCAACTCTACATCTCAACTGTGGGCTATTCAAGTTGAAGCCCCCAGACAAATCCCAATGTCTGGAAGCTGCATAGGTCTTGATGGTGAAGAGAAGTTCAGGCTCAATCCTGATAAGACTGATTATGAATTTTGGGGGGTTTGATTTATAGTATTGGAAAAGGCTGTACTTCCCCATTTCAGACTGATGCACAAACTTGGTGTCTTCTCCAATGCACTCTGCATGGAGCTGCCCTTGAAGATCAGCCACTGGTCCAGAACATGGTGGTGTGTGGAGTGATATGCTCACTGTTCTGTGAGCTGTGCTGATTGCCGCTGGGCTTCCAGGCTCAGTTTAAGATGCTGGTTACAAGCCTTTCATGGCATAAAGCCTGGCTATTTATAAAAAAAACCCTCTCTTCTATAATTTCTGCCCACTCAGTAAAATTTGGCAGAGAGTACATTCAAGGTTCCTTTGGTTAAACGATGTCATTTGTTGGGGCCCTGAAATGTGCATTTTCTATCAGAGCACCTGCCCTCTGGAATAATATCCACTTACAGATGGATAAGGCTCCCACCCCATTAATGTTCCAGAAACCTTTCAGAAGCTGGCTGTTCCCCCAGGACGGGGTGGCTGCCGAAGCCCTCTGCGTAAGCTCTTCTTTTTCTGTTTCACTTGGTTTCTCTTCTCTTCTGCCTGTGAGCTCTTTCTCCGTTCCTATTGTGCTGCCTGCTAAAGGGGATACTGCCCAGAGTCATTTGAAGTTGGGTGGACTCATCAATAAAGAAACAAACAAAGCAAGCTGTCAAGCAAGCAGTTGACAGCCATTACTCAATGACCAGGCACAGGATATTTGGACTGCTGCATGACAGAACGTAAGACATTCCCTGTTGGGTCAAAGCCAACTGCTTCTCAGCGGCTCCTCCAAAGGAGGGAAGGAAAGCCGTGTTCTTCCCCACGGCTGTTGTTCTGCCTAGGGGTGTACCAGTCCCCACCTACCCCAAAGAATGGGTCCGCAGAGGCCTGGGCACCACGTGACGCCCCCACCCTGACCTTGCTTGTATGAATGGGCCAGCAGCAAATCAAACAAGAGAATCGTGATGCTTTTTATACTGCTGTGAAACCATTTAGGCAGGGTGGGGGGAATGGAGCAATGTAGCTGAGGCTGAACAACAGGTGGGGGGGTTGAGGATAGAGAATGTGCTGTTTACTGTATATGTAATTTCTTTCTTGTGTACATTGTGCAGGCCTGGGGAGCACTTCATAGGTGCTACATGTTTTTACTTAAATGTGCTGCAACATAGTCATGTTCAGAATTGTAGCTTTTGTTGTGAAATGAAAAACCTAATGGGAAAGGTTCCCTGTATCCTGTCCTAGTTTTGGATGCTACAATTGTTTGTGAAATGTTGACGGGCCAAAATAAACCATCCCTATCAGAGTAGTTCACCTACGCAAGAGCATTATATTTTGTGAGTCAAATCCTTATAACTGGGGTTTTCTTGAGTTTTGGGTGTTCTAATGTATGGAATAATAACAATAGAAATCTCTTTAAGAAGAATTGCAGAGACATCTTGCCAGTAAAAATTAGAGTAAAATTGTAATAGAGATTTTAATGGAATGTTTGTCCAAGAATACAATAAAATTTTGATCCTAGAAAAACTGTTTAGAAAGAAATAAAAAATTGCCTTCCAGCTAGAGGAAAGAAGCAGATGAGTAGAAAATGCAGATAGTTCAGCATGAAAGTGGCTTATCCTTTGCTTAAGGGATGCTCAAGCACCTCTTCTTAAAATATTATAGTGATAAATAACTATTCTAAGGGGGGTGGAATGTTCACTTCACAGGATTGCCTTTCTACATTGAGATAATCAGACAAGTCCCCCATTGCCCACTTAAGAGGCAGAGGCTTTGCTGCCCTACGTCTCAGCTGGGAAGGCCTGCAGCAAGGCCGAATCCAAGGGTGGCTGCCTGAAGGCCTCCACGCTCTCTTCCCAAAATCCTCCAGGTCTTCATAAACCTGATAGTTAGGTAGTCCTGCCAACCAGATCAGAGGTGGTATTCAGCCAGTCCTGACAGGTTCTGGAGCAACAGTAGCGGAAATTTTGAGAGTGGGGAGGGAATGGGGATTTTGCAATATCCTTCCCCTGCCACGTCCACAAAGCCACACCCACAGAATTGGGAGCAAAAACTTTTTAATCCCACCACTGAACTAGATGTCAGTTGCTTCTCAAGGATATGCTGAACACTTCTTTTGGTTTTGTTTCAATAAAAAATAACAATTGTTGCTCCTTCTTCCTTACGCAATTCAATGGAATAATTCTTTTCATGGCTGCTATTTCCTTTTTTCCTGATTTAGTTGCCTTGTTGATCCTAGAAGGGATAGTACCAGTGACGTGCGGTGAGGTTTATGGCTGGTGAAGCAAAAAGAAAGCGGCTTTTGGCCGCCC